GGCAGCATAATTTGTAATATCTAAATCTTGGCAACAACCCAAACGCCCACCAACTGTGGAATGGATAAAAATGTGGTACTTTTATACAAAGGAGTACTACTGAGCTATAAAAAGACTTTTACAGATAAATGGATGCAATTTGAGACCATACTTATGAGTGAGATAAACCAGACTCAAATGTGTAAATACTGTATTGTCTCTGTAGTGTAAGAAGCTAAAAGAGTAAGATCCAAAATGTACAATAGATATTGAGAAATGGGAAGAAACTGTTCAAAAGGAAAGAGAAACTAGGATGGGAAAAGGAGAAAATGAAAAGTAAATATTAAGATAGTTATACTACTAAATTCTATTATTTCAAAGAAAGGTTTGTGCTTATATCATTTGATCATTTTTTCATGTCTGAATCCTGTAATCTGAGCAACTACTTTGAAGATAATAATAAATGTAGTAAGCATTGTTACTCTATCTTGTTTTGAAACTTTATATCAATTTTTGTATCTTTAATTTTTTTTTTCAAAAAGTAAAGAGCCCTTTCATTACCAATTAACAACCTCAACTTATTTTCAAAATATTAAACAAAGTACTATAAGCAAATGTAAGTATTTCCTATGCAAGTAAGAATTTGTTCCTTTTGCAGTGTTGGACACATACCTTCTGTGGACTAGGCTATCAATGAACTACATGGCCTGCCCAGCAAGTATTTACTGAGGTCTTACCACATGCAGGGTAGATATAGGTACTGGGACGACAGGCTTAAAAAAAGATCAGATGAAATCTCAGCTCTAACCGACTTTATATTTTAGTTAAAAATAGAAGTAACATTTTCAAAAAAAGAAAATGCTATGCTATCAGAGCCCTGCCTAATACAAGAGCAACTTAATATAAAATGCAGTTTTACTTCTCCACAGTCTACGGCAGACGGAGCCATCTTTTAGGCAACTACTCTATAGGGGTCATACATTCCCTTGAGAAACTGACAAGTACCACAGATAAGCCCTTGACTAAGCACCACTACTCTGCCTTCCATATTTATTTTTCCTTTCCCTTTCCCCTTTCCCCTTTTTTCTTTCTCTCTCTCTCTCTCTCTCTCTCTCTCTCTCTCTCTCTCTCTCTCTCTCTCTTTGTTGCAGAAATGGGGATTGAACTCAGGCCCTTACGCTTGCCAGGGAAGCGCTTACTCTACTGAGCCATCTCCCCAGCCCCATCCATATTTCATTTTAAAAACTGGGTGTACATCAGCATTGTTTGAATGAACATATGCCAAAAACTCAACTAAAGTAACAAGGTTAGCAAACAACTTAAAATTCCCCCAAATCTTCATTAGACTTTCGGAATATATTTAACATTAGCTGATTACTGCCTTATGTTCAATTAAGCTTTTTGAAATATATTATCCTAAGTTTTTTAAGTATAAGAAAAATGAATGAGGGGTCCCACCCACTAGCTCAGTTGTTTAAGTGCCTGCTTAAACAAAGTGTCAGTCTCTGGGATCAGTGGTTCGATTCCCGCGTACTCATGGCAATCCAGACCAGCCCTGGAGGATCTCTGGAGCAATAAAACAAAAACCGTCCACTACTGTAAAATAG